GTGAGCAGCTCTGTTGTCTCAGGAACTCCTCCAGTGACCACAGGGTACAGCTCCTGCAAGGCAAGGGTGTCAGTGTCACCCCAACCCTGTGCATCACTATAGCACAGAGAAACCTGGGGACCAACACGGGGCCACACTCACCCGGTCCAGGTACTGGGGGAGGAGATCAGCCACCAGCCGAGCTGTGTTCTCACTCACCTCTGACGGCTTCACCACCACAGCGTTGCCTACAGGACAGACACAGCACGGCCCCTGAGCCCTCACCCTCCTCTCCCCCACCACCCACCCACCCACAGCCCCACAAAGGACGGGCCCCACCTGCTGCGATGGCCCCGATCAGAGGCTGCATGACCAGCATAAAGGGGTAGTTCCAGGTCCCGATGATCAGCACCACTCCCAGCGGCTCAAAGTTGAGGAAGACCTCATCCCTCATTGTCAACAGGTTCTTCTTCACATGCTGAGGGGCTGCCCAGGACGGCAGCTTCTCCATGGCCAGGGTCAGATCCCCCAGCACACCCAGGAACTCAGTGATGTACGCAATGGGCCCACTCTGCAACAAGGGGGAACTTGGGGAGAATATGGCAAAGGAACCCACCTCCTGCACCCACCACGGCAGCCTGGAGAGTCAGAGCAAAGTCATGCTCCATGGTGGGGGACAGGACAGAAACCAGCAGTCATGGCCAAGGCAGCCCTTGACCTTCCTGCTTTCCTCAGGGCTGCCCACTGTCTGTGCACAGCAGAAGGAAGAAACCCCCTGCCCGCCCAGACCTTGTGCAGATCCGCATGGAGGGCTGCCAGGATCTCCTTCTCCTTCTCCTGCACCATCCGCTCCAGGGCCTTCAGCTGCTGTATCCTGAACTCCAGCGAGCGGCTCCGGCCTGAGTTGAAGGCGGCTCTCGCCCGCGCAATGACCTGCTGCATCCTCTCCATGGCTGCTCAGGGCTGTGGGGAGACACAGCAACACCCAGCTCACCACAGGGCCATTGAGGGTGCTCAGCCCCAGGAACATTTAATGTGGGGTCACCACCATGAGATGCCCCACCTGGAGCAAGGTTGGGAGATGTTCTTCTTCTTGGAGGGGAGCTCCTGCCCCCAAGTCAAGTGCTCAGGGCCCACACTCTCCAAGCCCTGTTCTACCTGCGCAGGGTCCAACACACAGCACCTCTCACAGCAATCTGGGGATGGCTGATAGATCCTGCTCTGTGGCTGCTTTCTCCCAGCTCGTGGATACCCTCAAACCCACCAGCCACTCCACCCTCCACTGACAGGGGTGCTCCCCAAGGAACCAAAACACTGGGATGACCATGGCCTGGGCGGGCAGCCGGCTGGGAGCAGAGCTTTGTGCCCGAAGCCCGTCTGCACTCGACTTCCCCATAACTCCAAGGCCCTCCCATGTCTTTGCAAAACATGACAAAACAAAAGGTTTCATCCTGCTTCTCAGGAGCAGCACCTTTTAGTCAGGATCTGCCTGCATCCCTGCCCAACCAAATAAGGCATCAAGGCTCCCCGACAACAATTAAAATCTGCCCTTCCCAGCCTGCTGCCACAGCCGCCTCACACAGCCCCAGTCCTGTCCAAGAAAGCAAACGACTCGTTAAAAAAATGAAGGAAAAGAGAAAGTTACCTTCAGAGAAGCTTCTCTCTCCACCAGTGTCCCGCAGTGAGTGCAAGCTGGCACAAGCCCTGCCCCTGCCATGGCTCGGAGCGATCCCTCCTCCCACGAGCGGGCAGCTGGCCCGGGCCCAGGGCTCTTGCTAGATACAAGATGCCCTTTACCCAACTCTGTCCTCAGCTGTGAACACACAAGCCCTGGATCTTCCCGTCCAGCCGGGGCAGTGACTCAGGGATTGCGAGAGACCACGTGGCTTTGCCCACATTGGGCACGAGGCCGGGGAAGCGGCTTCCACATGCCACAGCTGCTGTTGGGAGCCAACACATGCAGACATGGGATCTGAACAAACCCCAACCAGCAGGCCCTGCCTGCAGATGGGAGGCAATCCAGGGATGGATTTGTGCAGGAGAAGCAGCCCAGCTCCTCCACAGCCCCCCAGCCCCAGCTCACCCCACACCTTCCCTGGCTCCAGGCACCTCTTCAGTGCCTGCCAGAGCTCTGGGGGACCCTTGCCCGTGAGCAGAGAGATCACTGTGCCAGGCACATGTCCCCCTGAACCAGGGCAGAGACACCTCACAACACATGTGTGACATTTGGCCAAGCCATGGCCAGAGCTGGGAGTGGCAGAGGATGAGCAGGATTCTTCAGGAGACTCCAGGGACTTACCACACTCGGTTTATTACTTAAATTCTCGGTGTTTATTTAGTACTTGCAAAATATATCATCAAAAAGGCTTAGCACATGGATTTTCACCAGCCACGAAGAAATCCTACTTATTGCACAGTAAATATAACTTTCTACTCTATATTAATTGCATTTAGTAATAATTTTTTAATTTGCCTTATTTTGACATTAATATTTCTAAGGCTCTTTTACATTCAATTCCTTCAGCATCCTCCTCCCAAGCTCGAACAAGTCCCACATTATTTCCCATTGCAAGATTACAGCAGCCCCAGAAGCTCAAACACAGAGGAGCACACACTCTTTCAATAATTGTTTTCCCTTGGAGCAATCTGACCAGGAACAGCTTTGTACTGGCTTTGGCTGGGGTGGAGTTAATTTTCATCATAGTCACTAAGTTTCTTCATAGTGGGATGGTGCTGTTTTGGATTTGTGACATTGGCAACGATGGCATTTGTCTTCCCAAGTCACCATCAGGTGTGATGATGCCCTGCTTTCCCCAGGATGGCTGAACACCTGCCTGACAAGGGGAATTAATGAACAGATTTCTCAATTTGCTTTAATTTGCCTGCATTCCCAGCTTTCACTTCACCTACTAAACTATCTTTCTCTCAACCTACAAGTTTTCTCACTTTCACTCCTCTGACTGTCTTTCCCATCCCACTGGGAATAAGGGAGCAGCTGCACAGAGCTGAGCTAACCCACAAGGTACTTTGTCATTCCCACTTCTCTAAACAGGCCTGAAAGTTCTTTTGCACGAGTGTAAGATGCTCATCAGCACAATACAGGCAGTGCAGGTACCACCTTTGTAATTTTCTAACAGTTAAATAATTGTTACAGCCATATGGTGAAACCCAGAGACCCAAAAGGGCACCAGCCTGCATTCCCTGACCAGCTGTGGATGATTCCAATTTGCAGAGATCCATGAATATTTCACCTCAAATGTCAAGGGGAACCTCACTGGGCTCATTCACAACCATCATCACTCTTGGTCAAATGCATCAGCCAGCATGGCCTGTCTCAGACTTGTCACCAAGAGGGAGGGTGTTCAGAGCACAACAGGAGACAGCCCATCCCAAAAACTGCAGGGGAAACACTGTCAGCCCAAGGATTGCTGAAACTGAAGCTCCTGTTGGTCACTGAAGGAAGGTAAGTGGTTTGGTGCACCCCTGGAAGCAGCACTCTGCATGGCATGGGGTGGAGATAGGGACTGGAATTTCTTGCTCTGCAGTCCTCCTCCGGAGAGCTTGTCCCCTGTGGTCCCTCTGTTCCAGCATGGCTTTTTAGCAAACAGGAGTCTGAGCCTTCTTGTTGTTAGTGCCTCTCTAAGGCTACTCTGTGTGCTCGACAGCTCACTGAAATCACCCAGAACAAAAGAAAATAATGACTTCCCAGCTTAAGGAAACAGACACAAAGCGAGCACCCAGAGTATGGCTGGCACACGGGGCCTTCTCCTCTTCATCAGTAAACCACCTGTGAGAGCAAAACAACACCAAGGTCCTGTGAAGGATTTGTGAGACAAAACCAATTCCCCTTCTAGAACAGCCTGGAGCAAAGCCTCTTCACTCGGTGACTCCCCCAGGGCGCAGCTCGCCTGCCTCCTGCCCCTCAGCATGCACTGCATGGTTATCCTGGATGCCAGACAAGCTCCATGCACTGCCAGAGAAAGCATCGTGCTCTGGCTCTTGGGGAGCTTTCTCCAATCCCCACGTTCACCACTCTACAAAGCTCTCCCCCACCTCAAACTAGGTCTACACACAGGAGAAGAAAAAGGCTCCTACCTCACTGTGACAGCCACAGCAGTGCTCTGAAACCTGCTCCTCCTTACCACCCGCTGGGCCAGCCCAGCCTCTGCACAGCCAGCACAATCAAGAGGGCTTTTCTCTTCAGCACAGACTGGTGGTTCTGAGAAACCCAAATGATTTCAAGACGCCGTGAGTTTCCCCCCTCATTCACCTAGACAGGGCCTGCCCCCCTGGCTGGTGCCTCAAAGCCTGAGCCAGTTCTTTGGCTTTTGCACCTCCTCCTGGAATATGTGGGCAGGTTATTTTCTTGGCTTGTTGGGCTTCTGCACCTCTCCTCACAGCAGTAACAACACAGACTGAAGGGCAGAGTCCTGATCCACCCTGCCACCTCCTGTCCCCTTGGGCTGCTCCCTTAAGCTCACTAAACCCCACGGATGCACAGCTGAGCCTTGTGAGGAGGAGCCAGTGAAGGCACCGCAGTACCTGGTTTGTCAGACACAGAGAATCAACAGTGATCACACTTGGGAGATTTAGATCTTGCTCCTCCAGCTCAGGAGGCATCTCGAGGCCTCCAGCCAGCACCAGCAGGCCTCTGCCTCCTGCAGAGAGGGGAGAACATCCCACCCTTCCGCACTACCCAGCTGGAAACAAGGGAGGAAATGGGAATAATTGAGCTGAAGTCAGACAGGGGCTGAAATTGGACAAGGAACAAGAGCTCGTTGCAGACCCAGGCTTTGGGACACAGCTTCCCTTCCCAGGGTGCCCTGGCACAAACTGCAGCTGTCAGGGCTGTGGAGCAGCTCAAACGCTGCTGAAGGAAACCCTGGAGTTCAAACCACTCCTAACCTGTCCAGAACTACCAACTGCTGCCTCTGGAGGGAGCATCCCACGGGTGTCACCTACCAGAGCAGTGCAACAAGTAGTACAGCAACCCTGGAGATCTGTCTGGGGACATTCCTATTCTACAGATCACTGGTAAAAGTGAGAAGCAGATCTTGGTAATTTGAGGTGGGAGAAATAAAATAAGTCTCAAGAGAGAAAAAGAGGCCAGGCTCTAAGAAAGGGCTGCAGTTTGCAAAGAGTGAACTTGCAGAAGATGAGGTGAATTGCACATGCACCCACTTAGACCCAAAGAGACCCAAAACTCACCTTCATCATCACCGCTACCACCACCCCCAGCAGGGCCAGGACGGCCAGTCCAATGCGGCCCCTGTTAAACCGCTTCAGGAGGATGAACTTGGTCCAATCCACCTTCTTCTGGCTGACAGGTGGGTACCGCATTTTGTTGGTGCCCTCCATCTTCAGGTCCTTGATCAAGCAGGCGCGGCGGTGGGAGAAGGTCTCGAAGCTGTGCTTGCCGTGGTAGGCGCCCATCCCGCTGTGGCCTGAGGGACACGAGCCAGGCAGGTCACCCCACGGGCACAGCCCGCTCAAACCTTTGGCCACTTGAGGACAACTGACCCTTCCTCCCTGCAGCACTTCTCAGTCTCTAAGATGCCCATCTGTGCTCCACCCTGCTCCTTCCCCACCTCGTTTTCACTACGCGCTCTCCAGTATTTTGCTGTGGTCCCTGTGCCTCTGAGCTGTCTCCAGCTCTTCCCTGGATTTAGCTCCCTCTCAAAGCACCGTGCCAGGGCTCTGAGATCTGACTGGTGCTGCGTGAGATGGTTTCCTGAGGAGCTTTGCAGGGTACAGCTCCGTGTTCCCATTCCACGTCAGCGTGTGCTGTTAACGCTGGTTCACCGCCCGTAACCCCCAAAACCCTCTTTTGCAAAGCTTCCATGGACTGATCCATAACCTGTTCCAGTTCTCCCCAAGCTAAAGTCCTACCCCTTCCACCTGCTGATCACTGCTAATCCCTCTGATTGCAGCTAATGTTTTTAATGCACCTTTCACATCAATCTGCACTAAATGCTTTAATCTTTCCAAAAATACACCCAAAAGTTTTTCCCCTTTCTGGCCCCTGCCCTAATGCACTCCCAGAATTTGTTATTATTATCAAGACCTGATGCACAGAGCCCCTTGGGCTGCAACAGGCACAGGGGTACCATGGGTTGCTCCCTGGGTCACACAGTGTGGCAAGTCCCAATCCTTAAGAAGCTGCAGTAACTTACCAACACCACCAAAGGGCAAGGTTGAGAGGAAGAAATGCATAATGACATCATTTCCAGTCACACCCCCACTGGAGGTTTCCGAGATGACTCTTTTGATTAACTAGCAAAAGAAAACAAACAAATCATTACAAAGGCCCAGGAGAGATCAGGCCACGTAACTGAGAATACTGGGAAGGGAGCCACAAGACAACAGGCCATCATGTTCATTTTCTCTAACACAGCCCAGACCCACCTTCTTGTTGTTGGAGAAGACATACAAGGCAAGGGGCTTCTCCCGACGGTTGATGAACTCAATGGCTTCCTCTGTGCTCTTCACGGTCACAATGGGCAGGACAGGTCCAAAGATTTCCTCCTCCATCACCTTGGAATCCGGGGAAACGTCCGTCAGGATGGTCGGTGCTGCAGCAAACGGGAGAACAGTGTGAGCAGGACAGAAGACCTGGTCCATCACAGGACCTCACTGCACTGTCTGTGTGCAACGTAACCCAAGCAAGCCACGCACACACACAGACCCCAAAGGGCACCCACTACCACCTCCCCTCCCCAGCAGCAGCCACAAGCACCTATGAAGCAGGAGGCCTCATCACTCTCTCCCCCATGAGCAATCTTCTGCCCTTCCAGCAAGCCCAGGACTCTCTTGAAGTGACGCTTGTTGACGATCCTTTCATAATCCGGAGACGACTTCACATCCTCCCCATAGAATTCCTGACAAAGGGCACA